TTCCCTCTCCTCCTCTCTCTTACCCCCCCCGCCTCGAAAAAGTATGTTTAGTTCTTACCAATATTTTTGAGTATGGCTTTATCCTCCATCTTTTGCTGAGAAGGGTGGGCTACTTTACCATACCTTTTCACCCTGCCCGGGCTGTTCTTTTTGAATGCTTGTTTTAAATACTCCTCACCCAAGCTGGTGCTACACTTCTTAACTGACTGAGGGGAGGGTTTAGAGTGGTCTTTGTTTTTTCTTATTTTAATTAATGCAACTCCCAGCAGACTTCTGCTAGAGTAAGAGCTAGATCTGGTGTTGGCAAGAGTAACCTTGTAAAAATATGAATCCTGAGGCAAGATCCTTGCTTTAAAAATGGGTGAAATGCTGTAGGGCTCATTGAGAGTTAGTTTTATCCATGTTGTTGAGGTGGGAAGAGTGGCTGTGACCACCTTAGCAACCTTGATCACATAAGGCAAGCACCTGTCTCCGGATAAATTTGTTACAGTTACTAAATCTTGTAGTAACAAATCTGAGATGAGGCAATGGTTGAGGAAACCGGGCAGGAAGGCTGAGAAGGCAAATAGGAATCGGGCTCTAATGGCATAGCTTTGCAGGGGTCTCCTGGATTTGCTTGGGATTGGCTTGGCTTGCTGTGTTTATGTGCTCCTTTGGGAGGAGATGGTTAAGAACTGCAAAGTTTGCTCCTTTGAAGATTCTTTTCCCTGTTCCCCGTGTTCAGTGGTAATAATGCAGTTCTTCTCTCATGAGAGGGTGTTCATGGAGCACCGGAGAAAGTGGCATATATTAGAGCATTTAATAGGTTTGGAAAATGGGCTGACTGGCTTCTTCCTAGTACTGTAACCTCAAAGCTACAGTTAACTCTACTAAGTTCTGCTTTGCATCCTTTCATGCTTTGTTTGCGTGAACATCAGTGCTCCTTTCTATGCACTGTTGCCAGCAATTTTATGTATGCCAATACAAATACCAACTTAAGCTTGGACTCTTCTCCAAGCACCTGGGAAAGTGCACTGAGCTGAGACAACAACAACCTGCCCCATCCCCCAAGTAGATGTTGAATTGCATTCCTTTCCTGCTTGTATTTTAAAATTAAATCTGCATCTCAAATTAATCTGCTTTGAAAACCTTGAACCTATAGTGCACATTGCAGGGTACATCTGGCTAGTAGGTGCTGTCCAGTCATTCGAGGGTGACTTGGGAACCAAGGATTTCAAGAAGGGAGTTGTGGTGAGGCAAGGGACAGCACCCCTCATTGCACATTTCGTGGTCTTTGATACCTGAGGGGTGACTGTACAAACGGCTCCGGAATTACTCCTCCTTTCCCAGACATGTGTAGTGTTTGTTGGAGTGCATCTTTGACAGACCTGTGCTATAAAACAGCTACTCTGTTTGCTAGGTTTGCACTAATTGAGTCTTGGGGTTGGGCAGATCTCTTTTAACAACAGCAGCCCCTCTGCATGGCCCGAGCACCTGTGTTTGCAACACTCAGAGGCATACTCTGGCTAGAAAGATGCAAACGGTTTCCTCAGCCAGAGGCAGCCTGGTTTTGTCAAAAGCTTGTTTTTAGTGCTGGTAGGACCTGCTCTCACTGGTTATGTTGGCGATTCCAGCATCTTTCTAGCAGGGGATGTACTGAAGCACAATTAGCTTGTCATATGCCAACATAGTTTCCCTGGCCATCTGTAGACCAAACCAAGGGAAGTATGTGGAGGGAGAGAGAGAGAGAATTGTATTTGAGGATGTTGGTGCAGCACAGCTGTAACTCAGACCATAGCTGCCTCTGGTGCCAAGCAAAGTGCTCTTCATTCTTCTAGAACTAAGTGGTAAGTGTTTGGGTTGGGTAGATGGGTGTGGGGATATGAACTCTTAGGATTTGCTGTTGTCGTAGGCTTCCACAAATCGGTGTGTTTCACAGACAGTTTTCCTTCAGGTTTAAAAGTATGAGTCTGATGTCTGAACTTACTTGGATTAACCTTTGTTTCTGTCTCGTTTTGCTTTGGGCTGCCATCATTCTATGAATGTATCCCTGAAAATAATTCTTAAAGCTCCTGTTCCACAGCAAACCTGCCTCATTGTAACTTCTGATTAAAAGTTTTGTAGGAGGTGGAAGAGAGAAAACTCACAAATCTAAGACTCCTTTTCCCAGGCTGTTAATCCTGGAAAACAGTGGTTGAATCTTGAACACAAGGTTTAATCTAAATCTCATAGAAAGCTGTGCTCCCTGTACATGGATAAGGGCGAGTGAAGGTTAGTAGTTCTGGATGACACGGTTGTGTTTTAATAGCATCTCAGCCGCGTTGAGTGTGGGAAGAGAATTCTGTGTCTTAGTGCTGTTAACCCAGAGACACTGACATTGTGAAGTACGGGCTTACGGCGAGAACTTCAGTTACTTTTATTTGTTGCTGCAGAGCTTTTAGCTTGAAAATAACAGCTGATGAACAAATAAATTTTTTAAAAGTTGGGAGTTTCAGTGGAAAAAAAAAACAACCCACCAGCACTTCCTGTTCTGGATGAAGATCTAGCAAGAAAAATGTATGCAACTAACAGCTTTAGAATGTAAATTGTGTATATATGAGTTATTCCTGAATCTCTGCAACTGGTTTTGTCATACATTGGTTGAAGAAGCATGAAGATATTATCTACAAATACTCCTGCTAGAGGAAGCCATGGTACAGGGGAAGAAGAATCATCCAGGAGAGGTATCCCTCATTTTTGGGAGGGGAAAGGGAGAGATTTTATTTTGTGTATACAGAAAACTGGCTGAGTTTACATGATGCAGCTAATGGTTAAACCTGCCAATTAAATATGACATACTGTTACAATGGAAACAAACTTATGTGATATTTTGTTAATTCTTGATGGTGCCCTGTGTCTAGTAAAAATTTGATCCCCCAAATTGTTATATTCTCCCCCATGTTGTAATCCAGGGTCAGCTGCTATGCACAAAGTCTGTGTTCTGTAAAGTGTTTTCTGACTTGGATGTTTCTTTTGAATCTGCAACTGCTTCCTGATTAATTTGGCTAAGACCGCCCCTGGTCTCTTGAGTTAAGATTTGGTCAAAGATATGCTGTATGCAGTTTACAGATGTATTCTCAATGTTACAATTTAAGTTGCAGGGGGAGCAAATTCTTTACAATAAGATGGTCCATTTATAATCTGTATCATTGCCCTTGTTGTACATCAGGAGCATGTTTTTGTTTTTCTCAAACTCTTTAGAAATACCGTTCAGAATAAACGTGCACTATTTGAGTTATGTCATTTATGAAGTGTCGTGTGTATTTTTTTACAGTCAGCTGTTTTCTTTTGAAATCAGATAAGAATCTTCCTCTTATGCTTCATAAGCACTGTAACTCTGAAGATTTCTAACATGAATTGTGAGTTGGGCTGCTGTGATGAATGCCATGAGTGTTTGACAACTGAGAATAATGGGGTCTGTTTTTTTTTCTTTTCCCTGAGTCACAAATCCTTTGCTTTCTGGAGTGGGGAGAGAAGGAGGAACTGTCCTGGAATATTTTAGCATTGACTAGTGAGCAGTCTTGAAACAAACAAACCAGGCATCAAGAACTCTGTGTATTGAGCTTTATAGGTTAAATGTTTTAAAGTATCCAAATTAATTATTACTATTGCAAATCTTGACAACAATCCTTTAAAGGCTATGATATGTACTTGTGAAAGTAATTGGCCTTAAGATGCAGTGAGTAATCTTCAATACTGACTTTTCTCAGAAAGATATTTAAGTAAAACTTACCTTGCTTAACTATTCCAGTCCATTGGGTTAAAGCCATTTTTATGGTCTGTTGTTTCTGTCTGCTCCTCTCCTGCTTTGAAGTGCTGTTTATGAAGTGATGAAGTTGCTCTGTGGTACAGCTTCTGGGGGAGAAGAAAGTTACACAGAATTCTCTACAGCTTATTTTATAATCTACTCATGTAAATACACTGTCTGCTAATTCACGTTCCTCTGCTTTATCGGTAGATGGAGTCGCACCATTCGTTATCTCAAACTTAACTGTGGGCTTGAGCTGCTGCTACCAGCTGCCTTCTCTGACCTCTGCTGGAGGGCCTGGAAGGCACAGGTGGAGATGAACCACCAGGAGTGCAACCTCCATCACCCTGCCCTCACCAACAGCAGCAGAAGCTGGAAAACTTTTGCTCTTCTCCAAACCACTTAGCTTTTAGTCGTCTCTTGCGTTTCTTTCCTTCTCCACCCTCATCCCAGTCCCCTCTCTAGCAGCCTACAGTTTTAGACAATTCAGTTACTCATTTCCAAGGAAACCAGCCGATACCCATCATCGTTTGTGTTGCTGGTTCTACAGGCAGTTGTGTTACCCTCATTGGAATAAAAACTTGGGTATTTACGGGGACCCTGTACTAAATTATGGCATTCTGTTATCTCTTAGTTAGAACAGTTTGCTTTTATTGTAGCTGAGATAATTATTTGAGGAACAGTTACAATGCCAGGATATAATGAGTGGTAAGTCAAGTCATTCACTTCACATGGAAAACTGGGATTGTTTTTTCTCCCACCACCTTACTTACCTTTGTTGGATATAATTTGCTGTTACAGTACCCAGTCAC